GCGAAGCCCTTCGAGACGCCTTTCGCCACGCAGAAGTGCTCGACGGAGTCGAGCGCGGCCATTACGCGTGAGCGAAGGCCCTCGTCCTCGAGCGCACCACACAGCTCGCCTCCGGTGCAGCTCGCCGTTAGAGCCGGCGAGTGCAGCTCGCCTGCCAGCTTCTGCAGCGCGCTCACGCGCAGCGTCGACTTGAGGTCCGTGTTGACGCGCCGCGCGAGCCCCGCCCCAACCAAATCGTCGGGGGCGATCGACGCGTCGGGCGGGATAGGCCGCAATACTAAGGCCAACAGCTGCTCCATCGCCACATAATTCCTCCCGCGCGCCGACGCGTCGAAGGCAGCGAGCAGCGCCGGCGAGCAGCGCTCCTGCTCGAGGATAGAACGCGCCATGGAGACAAGCGCCGTCCGCGTTGCCACCGGACCGTGCTCGCCTTGGATGCCTCGCACGCACCAACTCTCTCACAGCACACCAGGTTCGACACAGGTACGCCACGGTACCAAAAGAAACCTGGAAGCGTCATCTTACTTTCCCGTGGGAATTTCGCGCCATTTAGTAGGGCCCCAAGACGATCACTGTACACTGAGTAGCAGAGTAGGCCCAAAATCCCCACTGGGCCAGGTAGAGTAACCCTACTTAGTAAGGGCCCGGGCGGGGCGTCTACGCCCTTATACTTAGGGTACCCGGGGATTTTGGACGGATAGAAAAAAGCCCTCCTCTCATGGCTGACCCTGGGCATGGCCTCTCTGGGGATGACGCCTGTTACAGTCTGTTGCGGGCATTAAGAAAACAGGATCGCGCGGCACGCCGCCGTTTGCGTTTCTAAGGACTAAGCCTTTCCACCCACCCCACCCACCCCACGCCGTGGTTTCTTAGCTTCGATCGAGAGAGCCGGTGTGTGCCACATTTCTTGTTGGCTTCTAAATCTCTCTCTCTCGACCGGCACCCCAGGTCAGCCGGGATCCTAGGAATTTTTAGGTAAAATGACAATAAGGAAGCGCTGGACCGATGCGCCAGTCAGCAGTCTTGGGATGGCAGGAAGTCAGGAAGACGCACACACCTCCATCCACACCGCCCAGAACACCGCAGACTTGGGCAAAATGACAAGTGCGCCGCGCCGCAGGCGAAGAGAAAATTTGAGCGGGGCTCCTGTTCATTCACACTCGTGTGTGGGCCCTTTCTTGGCAAACCTGTATTTTTTTGTTTTGGGTACATTCCCGTCGGAATTTTGCTGGCCTCCTAATTTTGCTGGTGTACCGTAGGCGTATGGTCTCCCCTTGATGGTCCTAGGCGGGCTTCTTCACAGGAGTCGATCTTGGAGAGGGGCAGTGCTCACTCTGCACTCTCTGGTCGGCCTGCTGTATCGACCCGTCGTGGCTTCACATCTACCTCGTGCCAGCGGCTCTCCTCGGCACCAGAGCGCTCCATCGAACGCCAGAGCCTGTCCTGGGGCGGGTCCCCACGCCCTTACAATCATACGCATAAAAAAACCCGGACTCAATCGATTGTACTGCGGTGGTGTGAGTGAATGCACCATGAGCAAAAACCTGACTTGGCCTGCGTTCAACGCGACCCGAGGGCATCTCCCACACTGCCGCACGCTAGCTACACTCACGATCCCCACAGGACATTCGGTTACTCCAGCGGGCCGGGGCGGGTGTCCCCCGTCGGGAACTGCCTGCCCTGTCATCAAGAGCGCTATTTAAAAGGTGATCAGCGCTGTGGCACCTTCTTTCCGTTGCCTCACCAGCTCTTTCGTGCCGTCCCCGCACGGCAGGGCTTCGCGTGGAAAATCACATCCTCGCGATTCTCGGGCTTTGGCTGCCAGCGGATGTGGCTGGCGCAAATACACTCCGAATTACCGCATATGTGAGTAGCCTCGTGGTCTTTGCTCGGCGGAGGCCCGTGGACAGCCGCACATATCCAGCGGTGCAGTCGGACTATGCGAAGGCGGCCTGACCCTGTGCGCGGCCAAGTCAAGTCTTTCCGCGTCTTCTTCATGCCTGACGGCGGGTGGGTGCGCCGTCCTTGCACGCGTATGTAGGAGCGCTTGCCGTACCGCTCCTTGCTCTTCCAGACAACAAAGGATCCTGCAGCTTTGGCTGCATCTGGGATCACACACGAGTCGGTGAGGCGCGTGCCGCCCTTGATCGAGTCGAGGCTCATCGCCCGATCCAGCAGAGCGCCGCCCCCGGTGACCCAGCCGAGCACCGCACGGAGGGTGTCTGCGGCGGGAAAGCCTTTGGCATCGAGCAGGCGTACGCGGCGTGCGCCGCGTGCCATCTACACGGTGTTTAAAAGCGGCGATCGCGGATATTCGAAGCTCGTTTTCTTTTTCTCGCTACGGCGTGTCACTAGTGACGAGCCCCTGCTCCTTGGTGCTCTCGATGGCTGCGAAGCGGCGGCGGCTCGACATGGAGTCTCTGGCGCTCGAAGAGAGCGTTCAAAAGCGCATTGCTGCGTCGTATCTGATCAACTTTCGAGAGTACAGTCCGGCCGAAGCCGCCGCGGCCACCGGCTACACGCGAGCGGCTGCTTCCACACGCCCTGGAAAGCTCACCTTACGTCCGGCTGCAAAGCTGCCGTTTTCAGTGCGATGACAAGTGGCCGCCACTCTAGATAGGATCTTGCTCTCCCTGCTCACGAGCTTCTCTTCACTGCGCCACTCTTGGCATGTGGCAAGCACCCGCCCCGGTGGTGCCCCTGGGAGGAAGAAGAAACCGAGACGACTCATGGCCTGCCGCTGCGAGACCGTTTCTGAAAGTGAAACGCATGCGTTCAACGCGACCCGAGGGCATCTCCCACACTGCCGCACGCTAGCTACACTCACGATCCCCACAGGACATTCGGTTACTCCAGCGGGCCGGGGCGGGTGTCCCCCGTCGGGAACTGCCTGCCCTGTTATCAAGAGCGCTATTTAAAAGGTGATCAGCGCTGTGGCACCTTCTTCCCGTTGCCTCACCAGCTCTTTCGTGCCGTCCCCGCACGGCAGGGCTGCGCGTGGAAAATCACATCCTCGCGATTCTCGGGCTTTGGCTGCCAGCGGATGTGGCTGGCGCAAATACACTCCGAATTACCGCATATGTGAGTAGCCTCGTGGTCTTTGCTCGGCGGAGGCCCGTGGACAGCCGCACATATCCAGCGGTGCAGTCGGACTATGCGAAGGCGGCCTGACCCTGTGCGCGGCCAAGTCAAGTCTTTCCGCGTCTTCTTCATGCCTGACGGCGGGTGGGTGCGCCGTCCTTGCACGCGTATGTAGGAGCGCTTGCCGTACCGCTCCTTGCTCTTCCAGACAACAAAGGATCCTGCAGCTTTGGCTGCATCTGGGATCACACACGAGTCGGTGAGGCGCGTGCCGCCCTTGATCGAGTCGAGGCTCATCGCCCGATCCAGCAGAGCGCCGCCCCCGGTGACCCAGCCGAGCACCGCACGGAGGGTGTCTGCGGCGGGAAAGCCTTTGGCATCGAGCAGGCGTACGCGGCGTGCGCCGCGTGCCATCTACACGGTGTTTAAAAGCGGCGATCGCGGATATTCGAAGCTCGTTTTCTTTTTCTCGCTACGGCGTGTCACTGGTGACGAACCCCTGCTCCTTGGTGCTCTCGATGGCTGCGAAGCGGCGGCGGCTCGACATGGAGTCTCTGGCGCTCGAAGAGAGCGTTCAAAAGCGCATTGCTGCGTCGTATCTGATCAACTTTCGAGAGTACAGTCCGGCCGAAGCCGCCGCGGCCACCGGCTACACGCGAGCATCAGATGCAGCACTTTGGGCAAAGCGCCTGCGCTCTGCGTGCACGCCATACAAGCAATGGGGTAAGAGGCGCGGCCCTGCGCCCATCATGACCGAGCAGGACGCGGATGCGCTGGGCGAGGCGCTCTATGACGATCCAATGGGCACGGGCGTCGGCCGCGTGGCGTCCACTCTCAACATGCCTGACGTGAGCACGTCCACTTTATACCGCGGGCTGATTGCGCACGATTGGCGCGTTCAGCCGCCCGTGGGCGACCTTGGGCTGGAGAATGACGCGCCAAGAAGGCAGATACGTCTCGAATTCTGCAAGAGGGCCGCTCGACGCTCGCTTCACGTGAAGGGAACCTTCTCCGACTCAAAGTACTTTGGTGGCGGCGGCTCTTTTGTGCCAAATCCCTACGGCAAGAAGTGGGCGCGAGACGGCAAGCCCCGGTGCATAGATCTACGCAAAGCGTCCTTCAAACAGCACGTGTACGCCGCCATCACGCCGTACGGCGCGTCCGACATCTACTTTGCTACCGGGACTACCGGCATCGCGCACGGCTACTTGAAGGAGCGCAACGTGAAGAAGTCCGCGCTGAAGGCGGCCGCCCAGGCACTTGGCCTCGACGTGTCGGGAACAAAGGCCTCGATCATGGAGCGCCTCTTGCAGCATGCGGGCGGCGATCCGGACAACCCCAGCCTCGTCGCCCATCTGGGCTCACGCCCCATCCGGCCGGGCGTCGGAAACGAGGAGTATGTGGATATTTTGCTTGGCCACGGACCGTACAGTGGCCAGAAGGGGCTCCTGCGGGATTGCCAGGACAGATTTGCGGGGACTCGGTACGCAGACAGCTGGTGGTGGCAGCAGGATGGCGCGAGCGTCCACACGCAAGGCCACACCGCGAGGGGCGAGGCGACGGCCGAGGCGATCAAGTCGGTGGCGCCGAACCAAACCACGGACTGGCCGTCACGGTCGCCTGATTTGTCGTTGATTGAAAGCACTTGGGCATACGCCGAGCGGCTGCTGTGGACCGATTACAGAGACCAGTGGACCGACGCGGCTTCGATGCGCGAGGCGCTGAAGAAGCTCTGGCGTGAGCGCATCACGCCAGAGTACTGTAAGAACTTGTTCGGCTCGTGGGAGGGGCGGCGGCGGGGGTGTATCGAGGTGGGCGGCGGGAAAGTGAAGGGGCGTTAGTGTGATTCACGCATGCTCTCATGACAGCTGTAAAAATTCCGCCTCCCATGGTATGCGACAGCAAGAGCGATGTGTGTTCTGCCGCCTCACCAGTGACCGAGCGGGGGGCCGAGGGGCGGAGAGCTCAAGGTGGCGACGGAGCGCCGACGGCGGCGATGCGCTTGCGGATCAAAGCTTCGGCATGTGTGCTGGAGAGGGGGCGCCTCCCGTCCACCGGGTGCGATCCGGGTCGGCTATCGACTCGCTCTTGCGTCGCGGCGCTTTGCTACGGTGCTTGGCGGGAGTCAGGGTGCGACGCCGAGCCCTCTCGCTCTGAGCGTCGAGGATCGGAGTCAAGACTGACGGTTCACGCTCTCTCCTCCCGCACAGAGTTCGCATTTACGGCCGTGGCGCCGCTACTACCCACCATGACGACGGTGGGGTCGGGGGTGGCGATCGGTAGTCCGGCGATCTCGAGTGCTGGTGGCGGCCGATCCGGTCTCGAGGGGCCGAGAGCTCAAGGTGGCGACGGAGCGCCGACGGCGGCGATGCGCTTTCGGATCAAAGCTGCGGCATGTGTGTTGGAGAAGGGGCGCCTCCCGTCCACCGGGTGCGATCCGGGTCGGCTATCGACTCGCTCTTGCGTCGCGGCGCTTTGCTACGGTGCTTGGCGGGAGTCAGGGTGCGACGCCGAGCCCTCTCGCTCTGACCGTCGAGGATCGGAGTCAAGCCTGACGGTTCACGCTCTCTCCTCCTTCACAGAGTTCGCATTCACGGCCGTGGCGCCGCTACTACCCACCATGACGACGGTGGGGTCGGGGGTGGCGATCGGTAGTCCGGCCATCTCGAGTGCTGGTGGCGGCCGATCCGGGCTCGAGCGGGGCGGAGAGCTCAAGGTGGCGACGGAGCGCCGACGGCGGCGATGCGCTTTCGGATCAAAGCTGCGGCATGTGTGCTGGAGAGGGGGCGCCTCCCGTCCACCGGGTGCGATCCGGGTCGGCTATCGACTCGCTCTTGCGTCACGGCTCTGTTGCTACGGTGCTTGGCGGGAGTCAGGGTGTGGGACGCCGAGCCCTCTCGCTCTGAGCGTCGAGGCTCGGAGTCAAGACTGACGGTTCACGCTCTCTCCGCCCGCGCAGTGTTCGCATTCACGGCCGTGGCGCCGCTACTACCCACCATGACGACGGTGGGGTCGGGGGTGGCGATCGGTAGTCCGGCCATCTCGAGTGCTGGTGGCGGCCGATCCGGTCTCGAGGGGCCGAGAGCTCAAGGTGGCGACGGAGCGCCGACGGCGGCGATGCGCTTTCGGATCAAAGCTGTGGCATGTGTGCTGGAGAGGGGGCGCCTCCCGTCCACCGGGTGCGATCCGGGTCGGCTATCGACTCGCTCTTGCGTCACGGCTCTGTTGCTACGGTGCTTGGCGGGAGTCAGGGTGTGGGACGCCGAGCCCTCTCGCTCTGAGCGTCGAGGCTCGGAGTCAAGACTGACGGTTCACGCTCTCTCCGCCCGCGCAGTGTTCGCATTCACGGCCGTGGCGCCGCTACTACCCACCATGACGACGGTGGGGTCGGGGGTGGCGATCGGTAGTCCGGCCATCTCGAGTGCTGGTGGCGGCCGATCCGGTCTCGAGGGGCCGAGAGCTCAAGGTGGCGACGGAGCGCCGACGGCGGCGATGCGCTTTCGGATCAAAGCTGTGGCATGTGTGCTGGAGAGGGGGCGCCTCCCGTCCACCGGGTGCGATCCGGGTCGGCTATCGACTCGCTCTTGCGTCACGGCTCTGTTGCTACGGTGCTTGGCGGGAGTCAGGGTGCGACGCCGAGCCCTCTCGCTCTGACCGTCGAGGCTCGGAGTGAAGACTGAGGATTTACGCTCTCTCCTCCCGCGCAGTGTTCGCATTCACGGCCGTGGCGCTGCCACTACCCACCATGACGACGGCGGGGTCGGGGGTGGCGATCGGTAGTCCGGCCATCTCGAGTGCTGGTGGCGGCCGATCCGGGCTCGAGCGGGGCCGAGAGCTCAAGGTGGCGACGGAGCGCCGACGGCGGCGATGCGCTTTCGGATCAAAGCTGCGGCATGTGTGCTGGAGAGGGGGCGCCTCCCGTCCACCGGGTGCGATCCGGGTCGGCTGTCGACTCGCTCTTGCGTCACGGCTCTGTTGTCACGGTGCTTCCCTGGAGTCAGGTTGGACGGCCACTCTCGCGGCACCCTTGCACATGGGCGGCTCCGCTCAGCCCGGGAGAGACGTGCCCCAATCGGCATGCGCGTATTATTCGCACGCCATACGCTACATCCACCGCCACCGGATCGAGCGGCTGCTTCCACACGCCCTGGAAAGCTCACCTTACGTCCGGCTGCAAAGCTGCCGTTTTCAGTGCGATGACAAGTGGCCGCCACTCTAGATAGGATCTTGCTCTCCCTGCTCACGAGCTTCTCTTCACTGCGCCACTCTTGGCATGTGGCAAGCACCCGCCCCGGTGGTGCCCCTGGGAGGAAGAAGAAACCGAGACGACTCATGGCCTGCCGCTGCGAGACCGTTTCTGAAAGTGAAACGCAGGCCTTGTCAGGTTCTCGCTCATCCACCCACCCTCCTCGACCTTCCCGACGATACCAGCGGGCCCGCCTCCACCTAGAAGACTGGTGCTGGGGGGTGGGTGTTCCCTGCTTCCGGCTACTGCATATACCTGAGCTAGGGCCTGAGAGGCCTCGCTGGAGCCGAGGCATAGCGGCGTGATTTCGGACCTCCACCACCCTCGTCATGTCCCGGGCTGTGTGGCCTCAACCCTAGCCGGCCCGCTGTTCCTAGGGTTGCGCGAGCTGTCCGAAGCTGTCACAGCTAGGGTTGCAAGACCTCAAAAGCCGGCCATCCACCACCCGAAAATGGCCGCCCTCCCCTCCAGAGCGCCGCCACAGCCGTCGTGCAAAACGGCCCAACCACCGACACGACCGCCACCGTCCGGCGGCAAGGCATACGCTCTGAGGCCGTAGAATGGGTACGGCTGCATCTAGCTCTTTGCGCGGGTCAAGTGTACCTGGTCTCCCCTTGATGGTCCTAGGCGGGCTTCTTCACAGGAGTCGATCTTGGAGAGGGGCAGTGCTCACTCTGCACTCTCTGGTCGGCCTGCTGTATCGACCCGTCGTGGCTTCACATCTACCTCGTGCCAGCGGCTCTCCTCGGCACCAGAGCGCTCCATCGAACGCCAGAGCCTGTCCTGGGGCGGGTCCCCACGCCCTTACAATCATACGCATAAAAAAACCCGGACTCAATCGATTGTACTGCGGTGGTGTGAGTGAATGCACCATGAGCAAAAACCTGACTTGGCCTGCGTTCAACGCGACCCGAGGGCATCTCCCACACTGCCGCACGCTAGCTACACTCACGATCCCCACAGGACATTCGGTTACTCCAGCGGGCCGGGGCGGGTGTCCCCCGTCGGGAACTGCCTGCCCTGTCATCAAGAGCGCTATTTAAAAGGTGATCAGCGCTGTGGCACCTTCTTTCCGTTGCCTCACCAGCTCTTTCGTGCCGTCCCCGCACGGCAGGGCTTCGCGTGGAAAATCACATCCTCGGAGTCAGGGTGTGGGACGCCGAGCCCTCTCGCTCTGAGCGTCGAGGCTCGGAGTCAAGACTGACGGTTCACGCTCTCTCCGCCCGCGCAGTGTTCGCATTCACGGCCGTGGCGCCGCTACTACCCACCATGACGACGGTGGGGTCGGGGGTGGCGATCGGTAGTCCGGCCATCTCGAGTGCTGGTGGCGGCCGATCCGGTCTCGAGGGGCCGAGAGCTCAAGGTGGCGACGGAGCGCCGACGGCGGCGATGCGCTTTCGGATCAAAGCTGTGGCATGTGTGCTGGAGAGGGGGCGCCTCCCGTCCACCGGGTGCGATCCGGGTCGGCTATCGACTCGCTCTTGCGTCACGGCTCTGTTGCTACGGTGCTTGGCGGGAGTCAGGGTGTGGGACGCCGAGCCCTCTCGCTCTGAGCGTCGAGGCTCGGAGTCAAGACTGACGGTTCACGCTCTCTCCGCCCGCGCAGTGTTCGCATTCACGGCCGTGGCGCCGCTACTACCCACCATGACGACGGTGGGGTCGGGGGTGGCGATCGGTAGTCCGGCCATCTCGAGTGCTGGTGGCGGCCGATCCGGTCTCGAGGGGCCGAGAGCTCAAGGTGGCGACGGAGCGCCGACGGCGGCGATGCGCTTTCGGATCAAAGCTGTGGCATGTGTGCTGGAGAGGGGGCGCCTCCCGTCCACCGGGTGCGATCCGGGTCGGCTATCGACTCGCTCTTGCGTCACGGCTCTGTTGCTACGGTGCTTGGCGGGAGTCAGGGTGCGACGTCGAGCCCTCTCGCTCTGACCGTCGAGGCTCGGAGTGAAGACTGAGGATTTACGCTCTCTCCTCCCGCGCAGTGTTCGCATTCACGGCCGTGGCGCTGCCACTACCCACCATGACGACGGCGGGGTCGGGGGTGGCGATCGGTAGTCCGGCCATCTCGAGTGCTGGTGGCGGCCGATCCGGGCTCGAGCGGGGCCGAGAGCTCATGCTATATAAAATTGAGCTTGGGTAGATAGTAGCCTCCTAGCCTTGATTGATTGATGGGAAGGCGAAACACAGTCCGACCAACGACTGGGACACCAACGCGGAATGGGTGGACGCAGGACGGGCGATGACGGTCTAGCCTTTGGTTGAAATAAAATGGTCACCCGAACCGGATTCCCCTTGTCGCTCGGCGCCCGTCCCCCCGCAACCAAACCCAATGTTGAGATGGAGTGGCTACCGTGCCGCCCGGGTTGCACGCGCGCCGACTCAGCGATGGCTCGCGTCGCTGAGCTACGTTGCCGCCGACAACAGCCGGTGGTCTGACCCCAGCCTGTACCAGGCCACGCGCCGGTCAGTGGATGAGGCGCGCACACGCCGCACCGCTCCACTCTCCAGTGCCGTGCTGATCTCCCACCCCGCTCGCCAGGCGAGCACGCTACCGGGCACGGTCTACCATGACAAAGAGTGCGGTACTAGATGGAGAAACTTGCTCTCCCGACGAACATGCTATGCGTCATTTTACGTGTATGTGCGCGACGCAGGTTTGCACAGCTGGAGGAGGAGCGCGTGTTCCGCAGCAGCTGGGTGGCGGCGGCGGAGCTGTGCGACGTGTCAAAGCCTGGGGACGTGATGCCGGTCAACGTCGGCGGCGCTTCGCTTCTACTCGCCAACGATGGGGGCACGGTGCGCGCGTTCCACAACGTGTGTCGCCACCGCGGCGCAAAGCTGGTCGAGGAGCCGTGCTCCAAGCGGCGCACCATCCTCTGCCCCTACCACCGCTGGGGCTACGCGCTCGACGGCCGGCTGATCGCGACGCCCTCCTTTGATGACACGGCGGACGGCAGGCGGATTCCCGAGCACATACGCCAGAAGGCGCGCAGCGCCAAGCCGCACCGTCCCTCGCAGCCTCGCCCGCCTTTCTTGCGGCCCTGCCTGTTCCGGTCCCACACGGTGCGCCGCCCCGCCGCTCCGTTTACACGCACACACTGATCTGTTGCTCCCGCAGTTCTGCACCTCGCACGTCAAGGACTTCGACAAGTCGCGCAACGGCCTCTTCCCCGTGAGGGCGGACTCGGCGCTCGGGCTCATCTTTGTCAACGTCAACGGCGAGTCCCGCCTCTGGCTCTGCCATCTCTCTGCCTGCCCCCGCCATGTCGCTGCCTGCCCCCGCCGCTCCTCTGGGCGTGCTTCCCACCCCGGCCTCTGCGGACCCTCCCGCCACCGCCCACCTCCAGGCGAGGCACTTCCTAGACACTTCCTAGACACTTCCTGGACACTACCAGATGTACCGCCCACCTCCAGGCGAGGCGCCTCCGCTCTCCGAGTGGCTGGGCGACCTGCTGCCCTCGCTCTCGGAGTACGAGAGCAGCTTTGGCGTGGGCACGCCCGGGCTCGTCCCGTACAAGCGCAAGCAGTACGACGTGCCCGCCAACTGGAAGCTCCTGGTCGAGAACTACCTCGAGTACTACCACCTGCCGGCGGTCCACCCGGAGCTCTGCAACGTGAGCGGCGTCGACGAGCACCGCCGGCACCAAGGGAGGGGCATGTACATGTGCTTTGCCACGGAGCCTCTCTCGCGGGGGGGGACGCCCATCGACCCCGGCAGGATCCCTCCCTTTCCGACGCTCCGGCCGCGCCACCAGCGCATGGCGTACCACGTCGCCCTCTTCCCCAACACCTTCTTCTCCCTCTACCCCGACTCGCTGTTTCGGGTCATCCTCTCACCGCACGGAGCGGGGCGCACCGTCGAGCAGGCGACGTTCCTCTCGCACCGCGCCGCCTTCGACGCGCCAGGCGGCGAGGCGGTCCTTGAGGACATGTTTCAGTTTTGGGACCTGATCAACACGCAGGACATCGACATCGTCAAGAATGTGCACCAGGGCACGAGCACCCCCCTCTACACCGGCGGCCGCTTCTCGTTCCGGTTCGAGGAGACGCTGCACCGCTTCCAGAACATGGTCATCGACAAGATGCTGGTCCACGAGCCGACGCGCTACCGCATCCCCGACGGCGACGTCGACTACCACGACCTGCTCGCAGCGCCCGACCCGCTGCTCCCTGCGGCCGCTTCGGGCTAGGAACGCGAGGCAACCCCATTGCTCGAGTCTCAGGAAGCTCGTCTGGCGCAACGTCAGTACCGGCTGGGCAGGAACGCGGGGGTGGCTCCGCGTGGCCCACAGGCATCATAGGAACCATGCTGACCCATCCAACAGCTGCATTCCCCCATCGTGTGCGTCCGTGCACTCTTGTGTGTCCTATTTGTACACTTCTGTTGCTGTGCAGTGCCGTGGTGTATCCTCTTTGTGCATTTCCATGGGCTGTATCCCCCTAAAGCGGGCCTTTCTACTTTGTTCTTCCATCTTGCCGATCTACCTGAGTACCTGTGAGGTGTGGGTCACGGGGTGTGCGCTTTTGAGAGCACTTGGGGGACGCCTACGGCGCCCGCCCTGCGGAACGGCGAACGCGAGCGGGCCCAAGATGGCGTGATTGGCTGCGTCGGCGCGCGTGTGCATGTGTGTGCCATATCGACTTCAGTCCCATGAGTTGCCTATCTACAGGCGGAGCGTCGGTGTGCCTGTCTGCGATTTGGGAGAGCCCTGGTGTGTCTGTGACGAGATCTGACGAGGTGCATGGTTACGGTAGGCGAGTGGCAGTCGCTGGTGCGCAGTCGCTGGTGCGGACTTGCTAAGACCTAAGTCGTGTGTGTGCTCATTTTTGCTTGCTAATACTGGAACATTTTTTTCATGAGTTGCCTATCCTAACCAAAAGTTTTTATTTTAGATCTTCAACTCGACACGCGCGATCCCCGTGGACATGCCGTGCGACGAAATGCCGGAGCTGGTCGCGAAGGCACGTCAGTGATGTGCCCCACCTGCGACACCATCGCTCTTTCGCACCCGCGCCTGCTTACTCCCCCCCACCTTTCCAGGAAATCAATCAAGCAAGAGCAATGAATGACTCGATGCTGCCCGTCGGTCCCGATGCGCATCTTTCTTGACGTGTGAGTGTTCGTTGCTTATTGTGAGCGTGCAGACCCCCTACCCACATACATACATGGAGCCCAACCCTGGAGGTCAGGGCATCAAGACTTGGAGCACTTGGAGTGCAGTCAGTAACCGCACACCCAGGGCCTGGGAGCTGAGAAGCGCACCCAGCGGGCCGGATGATTGGCATCGGGTACGGGGCTATATAGAGCCATGCCCTTGTTTGCAAGCAAAAGACAACTTTGTTTTACGCAGGCGTTTTTCTTCTTTTCTTCTGGGTCGTTTCGGTCGTGTAATAGCCGGTCGTGTGCAGAGCGCGAGAACGCCGCCCGAGGCAAGGCTTGATGAGCGGCTGCGCCAGGAAGTCTTTCACATATCAATCATGTCGTTGCTCAGCTCCTCTCTCTCGTTCGTTCGTTTTCCTCGTTTCGAGCGAGCATCTGCACCTCACCAGTCTGTGCTGGCACTGAGCTTCCCTTGACCCTCCCATCGGGTCGATCGTGAGCGTCTGCTTGCGCGGGCCCCCCCCTCCTACTTTTGCGAAACGTAAAGTTGCCGTTATACCAGAACCGCGTTTCGCTCGCGCGCTGCCGCCCCCCCCGTCGCCCTTCCTCTGCCGATCTCCCCTCGAACACCAGGCAGTGCATTGCCCCTCTCCCCATGCTCTCGCCGCCCTCCACGCGCGCGCCACCCTCCGATGTGTCTGAGGAGGACTCGATCGACATCAGCACCCTCGTCACGCTTGGCCTCTCTGTGGGCGACATCGAGAAGCTGTGGGCGTCAGCGCCCGTCGACGCCGAGCAGGTGCGCGCCGCGGCTGAGCGGCTGCTCAGGCAGGGCAGCGACACCGCTGTGCCGGTCAGCCGGATGGCCTCCTTTGGCCTCGACCTCGTGCGGCGCGGCTCCTCTAACGTTGACGGCCTCCTCGCCGCGCTCAATGCCGAGCTCGAGAACCCGCCGGACCGCTTCTGCGACCCCATCATGTTCACACTGATGGACGAGCCGGTCGTGCTCTCGTCAGGGCACCACTTCGACCGGACGACGGTGCTCGACGAGCGCGGAAAGCTCCGCTTTCAGCGCTGCCCGATGACGCGCGAGCGCCTGATGCCAACCGCCTACCCGCTCCTCTTCCTCCGGCGTGAGATCGTCGAGTTCAAGGTCCGGCGACTCGACGCTGTGCTGGCGGCCGCCGAGCGCTGCGGCGAAGGCGAGTCGCGACGCAAGCTGCTCGGCTTTGCGAGGGGGCTGCTGCGCGCCGTTGGCGGCTTCCACCACGCCCGCCCCGCGGCCGCCTTCTGGAAGATGCGGCTGAGCGGCGCGCAGGGTGTGCGAGGACTCATCGATGCGCTGAAGGAGCTGCAAGAGGACGAGGTCCGCACGGTCAGCAGAGCGGCCGACGACGGCGCAGGCGGCGCAGGCGGTGGCACGTCGAACGCAGCCCTCCACCTCCTCGAGGAGACGGCCTCCACCGTTCTAGCCGACCGGGTGCGCGCCGTCGCCCAGGGCGACGGCGGCTGGGACGAGGCGTCGCCGCTCCTGCTCGAGGTGGTGCGAGGGCTGACGGCGATTGCGGACCGCCCGGCGTGGGTCGACGTGTGGCTCGGGCTGATTGCGGGCGCCGTATCCTCCGCGGGGCTCGTGTCGGAGGAGGCTCGCGAGCTGCTTGCGGATGCCTTCGCCGCGCTGTCGGCTCCGACGTCCGTCGAATATTGGAGCTTGCGCTTGTCGCTCTGCGCCGCAGCGCCCGACCGGCTGCCGATCCTGCAGCAGCTGCGGCGACGCCTTGAGCCGCAGCGGATCGGCAGGGTGGAGCGCGTGATGGTGAGCGGTGCGGGCGTCGGGCCGGCGAACGGCACGTATGAGCGCGATGGCGAGTACGAAGGCGCGCCTCTCTTCAAGAATGGCGACCAATGGATGCTTCGCTACCGGATGCCTTCGGGGAACTTGCGCTGGTACATTGCCGACCGCCACCAGCTGAGTAGCGACGACGGCGACCTCTACTGGATCGGGTCCGAGGCCCTGCTGCCGCCGTGCAGCCTGCCGTGGAACCTCGCCAAGGACGGGCGGGCTCCGGTGCCGACCATGTCTCTCGTGCGGGCGGCGACATCTCTCGTCGAGTCCTCCGCCGCCCCGCTGCTCGCGCTTCTCGCAGAGCACGCGGCAAAGCTGCGATCGGCGGGTGTGCCGACGGCTCCGCTGGACCAGCCTCTTCCGCCCGCGGGCGCCCTCGCGTCGATCTCCGGCCGTCGTGGCTGGTGGGTGGATCGGCTGTCGCTCAACTTTCGCGACGGTGCAGCAATTGTCTACGGGCAAGAGGGAGGAGATGCCGTCGAGGACTTTGAGCTGCGAGAGGGCGAGGCCGTGGTCGGCGTGTGCCAGTGGTCGAGCGGCCAATTCTTGGGTGAGGCGATCGAGCTGCTCACGTCGGAAGGGCGGACGCATCGCATCGCGAGCATGCTTCCCAGATGGCGGCTGGAGCGCATCGCGGAGGTTTACCGTCCACAGCGGGTGTTTGGGCTGACCACGTCGGCTCGCGCCGCCGAGTGGGGGGGCGACATGCCAAGATGGTCTGGAGGCCCGGCTGAGGCTGTGGAGGGCGAGGTTGTCGGCCTGCGTTGGGGTAATCGGGCGGAGCAGCCGAATGTGCTCTGTGCTGTGCTGGTGCGCTCCGGGTCCGGCGGCGAGGCGTGGCACGAGACGCGTGTCCTGGACGAGGAGCCATTCCTTGGCGGTGAGGATGGCGGCGACGGGGGCGAGCTTGGCGTCGGCGATGCCAGTGCCCTTGGAGCTTCGGAGGCCACTCTGGGAGACGCGAGTGAGCCCGAGCTTTGATTAAGGTCATTCACGGGTGTCCGCGGCCCACTGTGCCCGCTGGTAGGACAATGACCGCCGCAAACCCTGTGTTCAGCTCCATGGGATCTCGGATATTTTTTGTAGGCACCGGAACGCCAAAAAACTACTATGTGTTCGAGGGGAAAGTAATCCGAGCAAACCCGCGGCCGCAATGAATTAAAAGGGGCGGGTGTCGAGGGGGAATCTGGAGAATCTGGGAAAATCGGCTCACCACGGACCCCCACCTCATCGAAAAACTTTTCACTCCAAGACATAGTACTTTTTTTTAAGGAGCTCTACAAGCTAGTAGCTAGGCACAAAAGAGATATGGCATTGCAGGCCATTTTAGGGCCCCTAGACGGTCACTGAGTAGGCCAAAATCCCCCACTGGGCCGGGAGCAACCTTAAGACCTGTTTACGGTAGTGCTAGTGGCAGGTGCTGCTTAAAACTTAAATTTGTGTCGCCGTGCCGCGGGCCGACGGGGGGCCCGGCGCGCGCGCACAGTCCACAGAGCTCGAGGAGATATGAATCGAGCCGAGTCGAGCCGCACACAGCTCACACGTCACAGGCAGGAGCTGCCGGTCACAAAAAAGCCATTTAAAAAGGGCGAGACCGGCCTCCCGCTCTCGTCCCTCCTGTCGCTATCCCCCTCTCTCTCGTCCCACACCGCTACCCGCCCTCTCTCTCGTCCCACACCGCTACCCGCCCTCGCAATCCCTCCCTCTAATGACCCTTGAATCTCCCGCAAACGGGGAGGAGAGCGGTGCTGCCGCTGGCGGCTGGGACACCGCGATCTGCGCGACATCACATGCGACACGGCATCAGACGCGCTGGTGTTCCACACTGAGACCGTCGTCCGAGCCGCCAAGGCTGCGCCGGCCGCCCCGCGACGCATCGCGCCCGCTGTCGTCGTCTGACTCTAGCAGCCGCGACGCGATGGCGAGCGCATGCTCCTTGGGAGGGTGACCGTCGCTGCCTCTGGCGCAAGCACCGCCCGGCGCGGGGCTGCCCTCGCCACCGGCGCCGGCGTCGGCGGGCAGCGTGGAGCATAGCGCGCCCCCCTCCCTTGCCTTTGTCGGCACCATCTCCGTGGCCCACCCCGCGTGCCCTTGCGCCGCGAGCAGCCCGCAGTTGGAGGTGCACCTGTGTGGACGTGCCGGGGACGCGTCGGGGACGTGCCGGGCCGTGCCCACCCGCGATCGGCGGCGATGCGCCGTGACGGCAGCTCGGCGTCGCCCAAGCGGCCGCCCGCCCGCCCGCCGCCGGCGCCGTCCACGGTCAGCTGCGGCATAATGTACCGCTCGTTGATGTGCAGCCAGCGGGCGCGCATCGAGCGGGTGCGCGGCAGACCCTTGCCAGGCGCGGCGGTGGCGGCGAGTCCCCCGCTAGACGTGCTCGACGCTTCCTCCGCCGCCTCCGCTGCCGGCTTGGCGAGCACATCGCACGCGAGCGACACGTCCTAGCGGGCGACTCGGAGGCGACTCTGAGAGATGAGGCTCCAAGAAATCTCGCGCACGGGCGCGA